TAAAGCTCATAGGAATGTGTCTCATAAGAGTACATATATATATATATATATATATATATATATATATATGTAATTTAAATTGTATGCATGTGTGTATTAGTTTCCATAGGCTGCCTGACAAAGTACCACAAACATGGTTTCTTAAAACAACAGAAATTTATTTTCTTGAGTTCTGGAAGGCTGGAAATCAATCAGGGTGTCAACAGGGCCTTGCTCCCTCTGAAGACTCCAGGAAAGAATCTTTTCTTAACTCTTTCGAGTTACTGCTGATTCCTAGCAATCCTTGGCTTATAGTTATATCACTCCAATTTCTGTCTGGACCTTCACATAACCTTTACTGTCTCCTATGTCTGTCTGTCTCTTCTTATAAGGAAGGATACCTGTCATTGGATTCAGGACTCACCCTAGTCAAGTATGACTTCATCTTCACTTGATTATATCTGCAAAGACTATTTCCAAATATAGTTACTGTCTGAGTTTCTCAGTGGACATGAATTTTGGGAGACAGTCTTCTACCCAGAATAGTCCATCCTCTGCACCTTCCTCCCCCATTTATATCCATCTAACATATGAAATAAATTCACCCCATCCTAGCATCTCCAAGTCTTAACGCATTTCAGCATTAACTCTAAATCTCATCCAAATCTCATCAACTCATAAAAGTTGCAAATATCATCATTTGAATCATCTAAATCAGGTATAGATGAGACAGGTATGATCCATCTTGGGGCAGAATTCCTCTCCATCTGTGGATCTTGGACACCAGAACATAAGTCATCTTCTAAAATACAGTGGTGGGAGAGGCGTAGGATAGACATTCCCATCCTGAAAGGGAGAAGTTGGGAGTAAAAAGGTTATGTGGTTCCCAGATAAGTTCAAAATGCAGCAGGGCAAATTCTGATAGGTTTCAAAGCCTATGGCTGTGTATTCTGTCTTCTGACCCCTGGAGGCCCACCCTCTTGCACCTCTTGCTTGCTCTCTGGAATTCTTCCTTAATAACATTTACAGCCCAGTAGTTCCAGCTCTGTTAGCCTCTTTCTTGCCTCTGTGTGTTACTACTTATACATGTTGATACATGTACATTTCTTTCTTTCTTTTTTTGCTCAGTCATGAAACAGCTTCAGATTTTGTAATTTTTTTTTTTTTTTTTTTTGAGACTTTGTGTCACTATTATTGCCTGGGATAGAGTGCCATGGCATCATAGCTCACAACAACCTCCAACTCCTGGGCTCAAGTGATCCTCCTGTCTCAGCCTCCTGAGCTGCTGGGACTATATGAGTGTGCCACTGTGTATGCCCAGCTGATATTTTGTTTTTTCTTTTTTCTTTTCTTAGTAGAGATGGGGGTCTTGCCGGGTTGCTCAGGCTAGTCTTGAACTCTAGTCCTCCCACCTTGGCCTCCCAAAGTGCTAGGATTACAGGCATGAACCACCATTCCAGGCCTGATACCTGCACCTTTAAATAAATACATATAAGAGTAACTGAAGCTTAAGACTGCCTTTAAAGAATTCTTTTGTCAGTAACATACAAGAGGCTTTGTGCATGTATTTTGTGAAACCTATATTGGTAGTTTAGACATTTTTGTTTAAGTCTAAGGTTGCATCTAAATAAATTCCTTGACAAATGAGGTAAGTTAAGCATTACTTTGTACATATTAGCTCAGATTTTAGGAGACTGTCACCTCCCATAGAAGCAAGACTTAGAAAATGAAACTATTAGAACTAATAATATGATTTATTATCCTAAGCTAAATTTTGATATCTTGAAGCAAGTACACAGATGGACATTGCTCAACTTCCTTCCACGTCCTCGAAATATAACTGGCCTTTTTGTAAGACTGTGGTACTGTTGCATTTACACATTGGTGAACCTGTTTTGTAGAGAAATTGATGTAGGTGGGCTTTGAGGTTCTAGTACTAGTAGGATTTTTTTTCATAGGCCTGCAATAGTAGCTAAGGGTATTGGATCTAAATGATTTTGTTGTAGGTTACTGGTGTATTTAAAATAAACTTTTTAGTTGCTATGTGGTCTTGATTAATCATTGCAGAACGCAATATCTAACATTGCTTTCCCTACAGATTAAGTTATAAAGTGGAAGATCAGACTTTTCTAAACTTGACTGGTGGTTTTATGGTTTTTAGACATTTTATCTTTTATGTATATAATATATATGCACACACTTACTCTTAAATGTTCAGTAGCATAATTAAATAAAAGAGTGTAACAGACATGAATATATGATGGTATTATTAGGAGGATTTGCCAGGGTGTATGTCCAATAATTGTGCTATGTTCAGATAGTTTTCTACTGATATTTCCTATTGATTGCTCTTCATTCCAGTTTCCTAAAGTATGTACCCACAGTGTATTTCCACTATAGTGCCACAACGTGGCACTGTTGTGCTTTGGCAGAATTACTTACAAAATCACCTATTCCTGTTGCTGTCAAATTTTTTGTTTTGTGGACTAGATAAGATGCTCTCAAAAGTATATGAAAATGTACTCATATTGGATACTTTCTTAGCTGTACATAATGAGTTATGTGATTGCTTTCTAGTGATTGTGCTAGATTGATTGCCTTTTATGTTAATCAGTTTTTTATTAGCATGCATATTTAAAAAGTTTTTCCTTGATTGCACCATCATATTCAGTTAAAAATCAGAGGGCTTCTTGGAGGCTATGAAATTAAAAATAAAAGAGACAAACAAAAATATACTCTAGGTGACAACAGGTGTATCTTTTTAAACTTAGGGTTTTTTGGCTATTTATTATTCCATTAAAAATACAGTTCCACTCAAAATACATAATGCTGTCTTCCAAACCCAAGGTAACTATTCTTCCCATTGTCATCACATTGCATGCTGTTTGTGCCAGAATCCATTCAAGAGGAAACAGTTTGTGATTCATGTAGGTCTAGTGCTCTCAGTATTTAAAATCTCCAGATTTACTTTAGTCACTTTTGGAAACTCTCTGTTTTTACTTTCCCTAAGGTGTTCTTTATGATATTTGTCAAGCCAGTATGTACTATTGATGCATTGAATAATTTTTTTCTATTAAGGGGCTTCTAGGTAGTCTGAGTAAGGTATTGAGGAATAAGCACTAGACTGTCAAAGGGGTCCATGGCCCCAAAAGGGTAAGAATCCCTTGCTATAGGACTCTTAAGATCTCAGTTGAATATTTCAGTGCTTGAAAATAAATGAGGATCTTTGTCTTGATCCAAAGTACCACGTATCATTGTAGGATCATCAGAAATATTTCCTGGCTAAACAAGAGGAGACTATTTTGACTCCTTTGAAGTGGCGGTAGTGGGAGAATTGTTAATATTAATAGTTTTGTGATATGAACTATATAACTGGGTGAAAAGAAAAAAAAATAAAAAAAAAATAGTTTTGTGAGATATCTGACTTTTAGTGTTTTCTGCCCTTGAGATAACTATGGGAAAGGTATGTAGTTACTGTTGGAGAAACTGTAAACTTCCTATGAAGATAAGGACCATGGTCTATTTTGCTCACGGTGATATTCTTAATATGTAGCACTTGGGTGTTTTTAGTGAATGATCATAATGGAATTCTAATTGTCAAATTCTCATGGGATGAGTTAGTGATTAAAATGCCAGTAAAGCATTAAGTAGGGTGGTTTGACATCTTTTTTCCAGACATATTTCTCCCCATAAGAAATACCCATAGAGAGTTGTGATGTCAGCTGTCACTTTAAGAGTCATATAGTCAGTCAGTGGGAATGTCAGATTTTGGAGTTGAGTATTTTAGAAATGGGAGTTGGAGTAAACAAGCCATGTTAACAGAATCTGCAAAGGGACTACCCTCAAAAGGTTTTCTGGAAAATAATGCAATTATGAACTAAGGGTACAGGGCAGTAAAACATTTAAGAAGTAACTTACCAAGTAATAGTTAACATTTATTTCTTCATCCAGTAAATGTTTGTGCTTCACCTACCTTGGGTCAGGCTCTCTGATAGGCCCACTAGGCTGTTAAGTTTATGAGGGCAGGAACAATGACCAGTTTGTTTTTCATTGTTAGTTCAATGCATATTGTGTAATGTTTGTACATATTCTGTATATTTGTAGAATAAATGAATGATGGGAAGTTCTTGCCTAGTGGTAAAGACAAACACATAATGGTAGTATTTTGGAAAAATACAATATGAGAGATCTACCATGTTTTTATTTTGTATCTTAGTCCTTAGTTCTGAGAATCAGATCCTTTGAGTTGTATCTTTTATTTGTTGTTTATTTTTAGAATGCTGTGTAATATTTTGTTGGAATAGTGGAATAGCTCTACTATCTGAAATACTGGAACTAAAGATATGTTTCAGATTTTTTAAAGTTAGCTTATTTCACAGTAACAGCCATAAGAAATAGAAATTCAAATGTTTATATTTGGAGAACTCATATTTGAAAACATGTTAAAAAACACTTACTTTGAAGGAACTAACTATATATTAATTTTCCAGTCATAGCGAAAACATACAGTAAAAATACAATTCCCAGAAAACTGCAATAAAAGAATTATTCCCCTTTTTTCCCCTATACCATAATAAAGTAAAATTCTAAACCCCAGAATAGTATTTTAAGTTCTATTTTTGGAGTGTTTGTTATGGATTGCTGATAAATACTCTGTCATATAAGAAATTTCCTTTTAGTTTATAATTTATAACAGGTTTGGCTGCTACATTTTATCAAAAATTTTTTGGACATCTTAACTATCATTTTCCTGCTTAATTATTTAATACACAGAATTTCACTGATTCCTTTAAACTGCTCTTCTGTTTCTGGGTTAATGCCTGCTTGTGGTGCGTTACTCTTTTAACTCCAATTTTGTTGATACTTTGTTTAGGATTATTGTGAATGTATTCAAAAGTAAGGGTGACCTATAGCTTTCTTTTCTGTGCTGTCCTTAACAGTTTTGGCAATAGAGCAGCTTTTTTTTTTTTTTTTTGGTAGCGGAACAGCTGTTTTTAATTCTGTATTTCCTTAATTGACAGGTCGTGGTTCAATCCCAGAGTTCTTTCATATTATGAAAAGAAAGTTTACCAACAAAGAATGGGAAACAATCAGAAGCTTTAAGGATGAATGGACTCAGCTGGATATGTTTTATAGGAATTGGGTATAATTCCTTTCTAATTTTGAAAGTAAAATTCTATAATGATTCCATTATCTTCACTTAAAATAGGAGTAAAAGACCTTTGATTATCCGCTAGTTCATACAGTGCTTGAAGTAAATGGGTGATTGCTTAAGAACTTTTTGATTTTTTTTATACATATGGTAGTACATTATAATGACATTTATTTTAAGAAAATTTAACCTGTATTTTATGCTCAATTAGAAAGTATTCTTAAAACTAACAAAAAATATAAATGTTTGTTGTGTTAAAGAAACTAATACATGAGGCCTTATATAACCAACACTTACATAATATTTATAATATTTACTACATGCCAGAAGACATTACTTCAAGCTCTTCTTAAATTAATGTAATTCACATAACAGCCTTATAAAGAAGGTACTGTTATTATCATCGCAGGTTTCATGTGAGGAAATAATGGCACAGAGAGCTTAAATGATTGGCCTTAAGGCCACGTTGATGGTTAGACTCCAAGCTACTATAAGGGTAAAAAAATAGCTTATAGTCATATGTAGTATAGGGTTTTAAAAATTCATATGTATTGGCTCTATAGATTTTATGAAAAGTTTTATCTGCTGAATTCTAAAAGAAAATGTCTCTATGTATCTTAGGCACTGAAAGAAAGCTTCATAAAAGCCATTGGTGTTGGACTAGGATTTGAATTGCAACGGCTTGAATTTGATATATCTCCATTAAACTTGGATATAGGCCAAGTGTATAGAGAAACACGATTGTTCTTGGATGGAGAGGAAGAAAAAGAATGGATATTTGAGGTAAGAAATTTATTAGAATTGTTATAACTAAGAATTTTTGTATTTTGTGCATGTATGTGTGATTAATTTGGGGAGGCTTAGTTATTGCAGTTAAACACATTCGGAATCTAATCCTGGTGTTCTGAAAGTGAAGTCGAGTACTGTGAGACAAAAATTATAGTTATTAATACATTGATGATAGTGGAAACTATGGGATTTGAAGTTGAAGCTATTAGATTACCTAAGGAACCGCTATAAATTGAATCTATGAACAGAAGCTCAAGTTAAAGCCAGGAGATTACCTAAGTTAGAAGAGAGAAAGGCCTAGAACAGAGTGCTGAGTATAGAGACAGTCCCAAACTTATGATGGCTAGACTTAATGATTTTACAACTTTAAGATGGAGTGAAAGCAACATGCATTTGTTAGAAATCATACTTTGTGTAGCCATACAACCATTTTGTTTTTCATTTTCAGTACAGTATTCGATAAATCATGTTAAATGATTTTGCCCACTGTAGGCTGTATTAAGTATTCTGAGCATGTTTAAGGTAGGCAAGACTAAGCTATGATGTTTGATAGGTGAGGTATATTAAATACATTTTGACTTAACGATATTTTCAACTTATGGTGGGTTTATTGGGACGTAACCCCATCGCAAGTTGAGGAGCATCTGTACTAATGTTTAAAGGAGGAATGTGGAAGAGACTGATAAAGAATGACCAAAATGGTAAGACATAAAATAAGAGAGTAGTGTTAGGGGATCCAAGGACAGAAAGTATTTTGGGAAAGAGAACTGTGTCAAAAACTGCTAGGATACCAAGAACGGTAGGGATTCTGTCAGTTAAAGAGTAGATATTACTTAAGAACCTAAAAGATAATACAATTTTTTAAATTATAATAAAATTGTTAATGAATATTTTCATACTTAACTGGCCTCAGTCATGAAAATTCACTCATGTGGAATCCTTTTATTCTCAAATATGCCAGATAAAAAGTTTTTATGTATATTTTAACATTTACTTCTAGCTCTTGCATTCAGTAGAAAGTAAACTGCACATTCATTACATCATTATTTATAACTGGAAATAAATCAGAAACTCCTAATGAGAAAACTGTAAAATAAGCTATGGTTAGGTTTTTGCTGCAGCTTTAGTTATGATGCTTAATAATTGAGATGGAAAAAGCACTTATATAAATTGTTATGGGCATAATCCTTATATTCTGATGTTCACTACAAAAAATTCTTTATAGCTGCAAAACAGACCAATTTGTATATACTTAAAAGGGCTGGTTGGAAGCACTCAGTGGTGTATGATAGGCAGAAGTGGAAGGTAGTTATGTTTTAGAGTTAGAGGAAGGTTAGAATCTTAACACCTACTTTTTGACTTTAGCAAGTATCACTTAGCTTTTCTTTTTTTTTTTTTTTAAGCATATCTGGCTGTTAGGTAAATTAATTGAAATTTTAGAATTAAACATAATTAATTTAGGGTGAATTTGATCTAGCTTGTCTTAATGATTTACTTCTAGGTAAATTTTTTTCTTACAGTGAGTACTGTTGGTATTCTTGACAGGTTATTAGGGGTAAAGATTTCATTTTTGTGAGATATATTGCATATTCATGTTTTTTCAGGCTAACCCAATAAAAGTTTAATTTTATATTTAAAAGTTGAATTAGCATTAGATGGAAATTTTTCTTTTTTTTTTTTTTGAGTTTTTGTGGGTTTTTTTTTATTTTAAGAGACATGGTCTCCCTCTTGTTTCCCAGGCTAGAGTGCAGTGGCAGAATCATAGCTCACTATCGCCATGAACTTCTAGGCTCAAGTAATCCTCTTTCCTCAGCATCCTAAGTAGCTGGGCCTATAGGCATGCACCACCATGCCCAGCTAATTTTTCTGATTTTTTTCGTAGAGCTGGGTTCTTACTGTGTTGCTCAGGCTGGTCTTAAACTCCTGGCCTCCCAGTTTAAGTGCTGGGAGAGCCACCATGCCCAGCCATTTCCCAGATTTAATTCAAATTATTTGAAGTCTGTTAGGAAGCCAACAACTATTATCTAAACAACCATTTGCATTGTGTTATTTAAAGAGTGCAATTCAGATTTTCTTTTTGAATGTAAATATAAAGGATGTTAAGTAGAATTTCTTCCTTTCACATAGAAATGCTGGGCATATCCTACAGTACTTACTAGAGTAGCAAAACTGGTTCAGTGACCACCTCTCAAGCCAGCCTGTGTATAATAAGAGAAGTGTATTTATTTGGGGATAGGACAGGCAGTCTTGCTAGGATAACACACTAATAGGCCCATCTCTCTGACTTCTAAAGTCCAGTAAAGAATATTAAGAGAGTTTATAGGAAAACGTGCCTTATGTTCCCAGGAGTTTAGAGACATGTGTGAAGATAGACACTTCTCAACGAAAGGAATTAGAAAGCAGGATCCTGGCTGGAGTAGTGTTAGTATGCAGGATTAGGAGGGAAGAATCAGCAATTGGGCCAGCTGTGCTTTACCTTTTCGGACAAGAAAGATGTCTGAGTTTCTGTGGACCAAAGAGATATTGTGGAACATGGTAGCTATTGAGCTTAAAGTGTCTTAAAATGACCCCAGCTAAGAGGAACACCAAAAGAAAGGTGTATTAGGTACTGAGGGCAGGGAATACAATAAATCAGCCATTAAATGCACTGCTATCTCCAGGAATGGTACAGGGCTGAGGAACTGGGAGTGGTTCTCTGAAAATGCCACAGATATATATCTTCCCCATGGGATAAGCCAGCATTTAGACACCTGATATGAACCAGGGCTCCCCAAACTGGATTACAACAGCCCTAGTCATTTTTTGCCCCTTCAATCTCTTTCCTTCCTTTCTGCTACCTACTTTAAAAAAAACCAGAGTGGAAGAGAAAGAAGAGCAAGAGGAGGCCAGGGAGGAAAATGTACATTTGTTATAGGATTGAAGTGGGATTGTTGTAGCTGAAAGTGACTAAATAGAAAGTGACTGGACTGTTTGTTTGTTTTCCTGCTTGACTATGGCCTTGCCCAGAAGCTGGGAAAGAATATCCAGGCATATTTGAAGGCAGCCATGGAAGAATAAGTTCTTTACTCAGGTTACCATATTGTTTTGCCCATTCATTGTATCAGTTATGAAAATACATGTGTCTGAGTAAGGATAGAAGGGGATGAGGAAAGGGAGGATGGAACTGTATCTGCTCCAGAAACAGAGTTGAGTCTGTGTATAACAACCTGAATTCCAGGTCTGGATCTGGGAAGGAATATGTACTGGCCCCTCAGTAAATGGTGCCGAGGCTAAAGATACTGTCCTCATTCATGTAAAACTAAAGGACAGTGTTGTCATAGAATGTTTGATAAAGTCTGCATCCCAAGAGAAAAAGGAATATGTATTTCCTTGAAGAGTCAAAAGAATATGAAAGTGAAAATTATTAAGAAAATGGAAATTTTAAAAAATGTTTGATGTCTTTGATGACATGTAAGAAGAATCTGGGAAATGGAAGCTAAGGGCCTTAATAAGAGAATCAGCTTGTTATCAAAAGAGAGTTATTAGTGTAAGTTAAACAGTTAATGAAACTATCTAGAATAATGTATAGGATAGAGGACAAAGGACTGAATGCTGGAACAATTATATTTAAGAAATACGCTTTGGTTGGGCACAGTGGCTCACTAACATCTGTAATCCTAGCACTTTGGGTGGCCTAGCCAGGGGGCTTGCTTGAGGCTAGGAGCTTGAGACCAGCTTAAGCAACATAGTAAGATCCCATCTCTAGAAAAATTGTAAAAAATTAGCTGGGCATGGTAGCAAGTGCCTATAGTCTGAGCTACTGGAGAGGCTAAGGCAGGAGGATTGCTTGAGCCCAGGAGTTTGTGCTTGTGGTGAGCTATTGATGATGCCTCTGCATTGTAGCTGAGCAACAGAGGAAGACCTGTTCCTAAGCATCTCCCCCTTTCCTCTCATGGATCACTTACAATTAAGTCTTCAGCACTCCACCTTTCTGTGTACCAAATCTTTAACTCAGTTTCTTCTACTCTTCAGACTCACTGCTACATGTTTCTCTCTAAAAATTCCACAGATATCTCAAATTTTGCAGATATAACAAAGCCATAATTGCCCTTCAAGGTACGTTCTCTTTATAACTTTTTTTTAATCCAGTCATCCAGAATAAAAAGCCCAGACCCAGTTTTGTTTCTTCTTCCTCTTTCCCTTATTGTACCTGTCAGTCTAGTTACCAGTGACATGCTCCCCTCTGAAAACTCCCTTGGCCCCCACCACTTCCCTGGTATGTCCCTCTTTATATCTGACCTGGACCATTGCAGTAGCCTCTTAACTGATTTTATTATTTTGTTTCAGGCTGCTGCTTCAGTCTTTTAGCCATCATTTTGCCATATATTCCACATTGCAGTCAGATCACAATCTGCTGTTACTTGACTATCCCCACCCCTTCTCTGTTTGTATTTGCTTATACTATTATAATTTCATGACTTTCCCTGTCTGTTTCTCACCTTCTCATTTAATATTTTAAGTCTACTCAGGTGCCTTCTCTAAGATACCTTTTTGTTTTTTTCATATGACATACCACATTTTGCCTCATAATCTCTGTATTTATCTAATTGTTTTACTTCCTCATTGCTCCCTGAGGGCAGGAGCAGTATTTTAATTACCATTCTATCTGTAATAGGCCTAAAACACTAGCTTGGACATAATCAAGAATCCATTACTTACTGTAGCAAATCCAAAGGATTTTCCACATAACTGAATATTGTATTTCACCTGGAAAAATAAAATATTCTAGAAAAGATACAAAATGTTATACCAGGAAGAATCTAATATTTTTATAAGCTTTTAATTTGTAACCAGTTTCTGTTAGGAAAGTTACCACCTGAAAGTTTCAAATGATGAGATTAGCTAAAATAGGAATTCTTTGTTTTGCTTTTGGAAGAGGAAAGGGCTTATCAAATAGAAATGTTAAAATTTATGACAGATTTTTCTTTTAATACAGTACCTTACCATTGGAAATAAATAGTAAAATTAGAATATTTTAAGTTACACTTAAACTTTTATTTTACTTTGTAAAATGGAATACATACTAAGAAAATGACTAAAGGCTAATAATCTTTTTAATCTAGTGCTAAGCTATCTCCTGAAAAGATAATGTATTCCTGCTCCCTTTGGGTTTGTTGGAAATTGTAGGGAAATTTTGGTATTCACAGTAATTTTATGGATAAAAAAATTACAAGTTCAGGAAATTCTTGAATGTTTAGAAAGTCTTAGAAATTAAATCTTAACTTAGATAGCATTGAATAAACTAACTTCACTGGTTAGCTAGCTTGCTGATTTCCTTTTATTTTTCAACTAAAATGTATTATAAACATTCTCCTAGGCACCCCCCAGGTACAATAGGACTGAATATGGACCCTGCTGAATACAGTGAATTGACATGTATTTAACTAGCCCTCTGAACTTAGGGTAGTCATGACACTATACCAATGGTTCATGTTCACACTGCAATTTAAAACAAGCAAAATAAAAAGTGGGTAATACACAAAATTTTCTTCTATCCTGTACATTTCAAAAAAAAGGCATATGCAATATTTACATTTTTAATTTAGTTTACAGAATGGAACCAAAATGTATAAATGTTATGTTTGCTGAAACTTCACGATGTATATTGGGTCTTTGTACATTTTGCCTGACTTAACCTTAAATTTAAAATATTTTTTGCTATATAAACTTTAACAGTTATTAAACAGTGTTTTCTTTTTGGGTACGTATTGTTTCTGGATATCGAGATGTTAAATATATTTCTTGCTATTGTGATATGACAAGAGACTTAACTTATCTTGCTCTGTCTTCCACTGTACACGCTGTATATAGGGGTCGATGTGATGCTGCTGGGGACAAGAATAAACTGGACTAGAATAGTGCATTGTATTTAGTCTGTATTGATCATGGATGCCCTCCTTAATAGCCATATGCAATAAAATAAAATACATTATTTATGAAATGAAAAAAAAAAACAAAACATTCTCCTAGGCAGAAAGAATTTAGGGCAAAGTCCTTAACCTCATAGAGCTTTCATTCAAATGGAATATTGAATATTAAGTTAACTTTGTAGGAACACGGCATATGACATTGAAGTAAATGACACAGTTTGATAACTGAGTCATCAGTTGTAATAAAATAGCTTCTCTAATTTTGAAGTGTCAAATTTCATAGTTACATGATGCTGATAAGGTCTGAGTAGACTGATAAAGTTTTATTTTGAAACCAATCTCATTGAATTTTGGCTTGTAACAAGTTAAGTGGCTAAATTGGGCAGGGCATTTTCGCATTTTGCTGGCAGGCTGAACAAAAACTGATTATTGCCCACTTACCTCTGTTACTTACCTTAGATACAGATACTACAGAACTGTTGGTCTGAGTGGTTTTTCAAAATTAATTATAGCCAAAACATCTGTATATTATACTGTTCATATTATCAGTATATTCAGGGTAAAGAATGGGGGAAAGACCTTGTATATCTTGTATCAAAAAGAATAATTTTGTCTTTAATAATAAATACTGTGATGTTGGTTATTTTTCCCCCATTTGTACATATTGATGTTGCTACATTGAAGTATGACATTGTGGTAAAGTCAGGGCCTTAAGTGCATACAGCACGGAAGCAACACACATTGTACCCACCAAGCAACTTCCCATCATCCACCCTCACCTGTGCAAGTCTCCAGTGTCCATCATTACACATTCTGCTTCCATATGTACACTGTATTTAGCTCCCACTTATAAGTGAAAGAAAATAAGTGGCATTTGGCTTTCTGTGTCTGAGTTGTTCACTTAAAATAATGGCCTTCAGTTCCATCCATGTTGCTGCAAAAAACATGATTTCATTCATTTTACAGCTGAATAGTATTTCATTGTGTATATATGCCACATTTTCTTTATGTGATTTTGTTTTTTAGTTTAAGGGAAAATTTTTTTGTTTGTGGACATGGTAGGAAGTGACAGTCTGCTAGTGTCTCAGACTGTTAAAAACGTTCAAAACAGTACATCCGTTAGTAACATTTTTTAGTGTCCAGCTATCAATCATTAGCATACATATGCCTCTAATTATATGTTAAAAATAATTTTTATTTAAAATATTCCATATATAAGAACTATGTGCTATATGCCAAATTTCTGAAAAATTATTTTAGATATTTTTGCATTTGTGCATTCAAGTTACATTTTTTTTAAAAAACAAAACAAAACCGGACTACATTGCTGACTTACTTTGTGATAACTTTGACCTGTTAAATCTTCTGATACTTAGTCTTATTTTTTTCTCTATAAACATGTCTTAAATTTATCCTTACTAAATTTCATTTTTTGCTAATTTGGATATCTTAAGGTATGAAGATATGAAGAAAAGGATAAAGGAAGAAATGTCCCTAAATACTACTTCTGATTATAGTTTCCTATTTCAACTGATGTCTTATGGAAGAATGCCTTAGTGAAGTGGTTTTTCAATGAAAATTTGTTTGATTTTTTGATAAGTTGTTTATAATTTTCTCTGGTAACTAACTTCTTTATGTATTACATTTTCAGTCTCCCTTCCCCTTTGTCTCATACATAGGGGAAAATAGAAAATGGCATATAACCAACCAAACTTAACCAAAGTTTTACCTATAAATTTCCACCACGATTTTCCGTAGAGTATGTAGTTGACTAAATGCTTACAAACCAATGTTGCAGCTGAGTTTTGTTTTATGTACACTTTAAGCATATACAGAATTAAACCACCAGTTAAGGGCAGATAACTACCATGTATCTCTAGATAGGTCATATCACCTATGTAGTATTCTGGTTGAGAATATATAACCTAAAATCTAATCATTGATAAAATATCAAACCCCATATTAGCTTTATTTTATTAATAAAAGGGGGTAGGGATTTTTATTTTAAAATGTTAATGTCATAAAAGACAAAAGCTAACAAGACATGACAACTGAATGCTGTACTTGACCCTATTTGCCCATTATTTGGCTCCTGTTCTGGAGGTGCAGGATAAATGCCACAAAGGATATTATTGGATTTATTCACAAAATTCAGAATACAGATCATAGATTAAAGTATTGTTTCAGTGTTAAGCTTACTGGAGTTATTAACCACTGTGGTTATGTAAGAGAATATTCCTATTAGGCAATACATATTGAAGTATTTAAGAGTAAAGGGCCACAATGTATGTAACTTAAGTGGTTTAGAGGAGGTAGGGGAATGTGTCTATGTGTGTATTTGTGTGTAAAAAGAAAATAAGACCTAGAAAATGTGAACACAACTGTATGTAGATTTACATATTTAATAATCCATATTTACTTTTATTTTTTAGGAAAGCAAAATAGATGAGCACCATTTTGTTGCAGTAGCTCTTAGGAAACCCGATGGATCTAGACATCAGGAGGTAAGATTTTAGGATTTCTTTTTTCTAAAGAGCATGAATCAATGTTGCTTGTTCTTTATTGAAGGAAATAGTATTTTGCTTTAGATTAGAGGGGTGTATTTTTTTGATATTTGAGACTTAGAAGTATTTTTGATTATCACATATTTAAGGTCACTGGGGATTTTGCAGAAACACTTTTAAAAAGCATGTTGCCTGCTTCACATTGAAATACAGTTAAATATTTAAAAGAAATAATTTTGATAGTACTGTCATAGTACTCATATTTCCATAGAAATTCAAGATAATCACTATCTTTGTCGTCTTAACAGTAATTTATTTTCTGGTGAATGGGGCTTTGTTGAATATAAGGGTACCAAGTTGAAGGTTGGTGAGTAATAGAATTACTTTGCAAATTGAACCCCCTCCCCCTTTTAAAGTAATATCCTAAGTTATTTAACATATAACATAATGACACAAGGTCTCTCAATATCCTAAAAGCAATATCCTAAATTATTTAACATATAACAATATGACACAAGGTCTCTCTTATAACATATAACATAAGTTATATAAGTTATATAACATAAGTTATATGTTAAACATATGAGAGACTTTGTGTCATATTGTGGCACCATGCCTTTGATAGATAGTCTAAGGATTAAAATTCTTCATAGATTGTCTTCCTTAAAAAAGGATGGCATGTCACAGTTGACACCTGTTATGTGAAAGACATTCTGACCCAGATACCTGTCCTCTTGTCCTCAAGTCTCAGCTATACACTCTCGGCAAATACTTTATATTTCTGTAGAGCATTAGAATTTGTGACACATTTGTGACACATTCAGTACTTTTGATAGAGCCTATTTAGTCAGTGGCGGCGTAGTAGAAAGACTAGAGTACAATTCAGAAGATCTGGATTATAGGCCCAGGTCTACCATTTAACCTGTTGTGCACTTGAACAAATTGTTTGATCTTCCTGAGTCCCAAATACCTATCTATAACAATGAGATAACAACCGTATCACAGTATAGCTGTGAGGCAAATTGTATAAAATAAGTGCTGGACCTTATTAAAGCATGATATAAAACCCAAGCACTATTTATTCAAGAATGTGTAGAATATTAAAGAAGGTCTTTACTGAGTCAGTTGTGATTGAGGGATGTAACTCATAGTGTATAAAATACAGTTTAAATTTAATATTGAATAATTTCCTAGAGAAGTACTCATCTCTGAGTAGTTACGGCAGTTTTATCTGATCCACCCTCTAGAGTAATATTTCTCAAAAGTTTGCTGTGGCCCAACTTTGTCAAAATAACCCACCTGCTTATTACAGATTTGGGGATCCCTTTTAGCTCATATGTACTGAACCAGACTTTTTGGATATGGGCTCAGTAAATCTATATTTTAAACAGATACCACAGGTTATTATTATATCAAAAAGTTCAAGAACCAGGTTTTCTATTTCATATTTTTGGCAACACTAATACAGGAATAAAATCAATATTCTAGAAATTCTATGTTGTAATTTAATACTACTGAAATGTAATTTGGTCTTGTTATTTTCATAGTTACGAAATTGATCATAAGATTAACATGCATATAACAGTGAGGTAATCTGTTTTTTTCCCTTTCAGGTTCCATCTCAAGATGATTCTAAACCATCCCAGAGGAAATTTACTATTCTCACCTTTAATGATTTAATAGCATCTGCTGTTCCCATGACACCTGAAGATCCTTCCTTTTGGGACTGCTTTTGCTTCACAGAAGAAATTCTAATACGAAATGGAGGAGACTGTTGAAAATGAAGAAGCTAAGGTGGGCTTGGGAGAATGGAATTGAGGTGGAGCCCACTGCCTGCCATAAGAAAGGTGTGCCACAATTTACTCATTTTTTTTCTTTTAAGATATTTTGATTGCAGTTAATTAAGCAGTGTTTCAGTGAATGTCCTTGTACATTTTGAGGTACTTGCTTACTTATGTCCTTAAGTTTCCAGAAGTGGAATGAACTGGTTCACAGGGCTTAAACATTTTTAGAATTTTGATGAGTATTACCATATTGCTCTCCACAAATTCTGTACAATTTACCCTTTCAGTTAGTACTATATGTGTGACCACCCTCCTACCTACATATTCTCTGGTCAATTGTAGGTATTATCTTTTTTTTTAAATTTAATCTTTGCCAGTATAACTGAAAATGGTATGTCATTTAAAAAATATGTATTTCATTACATGAGTTGGATATATCCCATCAGTGTTATTGGTTGGTTGTGTTCCTTTTTTATGAACTGCCTGTTCATCATCTTTACCTGTTTTTATTTTAATAAGTAGGACTTAAAGTGGGAACATAATATATAAGATGCCAAGACCATCATATTGATGACAGAATCTATTATATGGTTGTAGTGCATGTTTTGGGGAGTTTAAAGTCTTGTTAAGTATCAAGAAGTAAAATAATTTCATTGTTTCTATTAATATTACTAACATTAAAAGTTGTGTGTAAATTGTATAAAATTAGGTCCTTTAGTAAAAAAACTGGAATGTTTTATAATTTTTTAATTTTATTAAGCATGCCAAGTTATTCTAAACATAGTAAATAATATGTTTTAAAAAGATCAAGTAGCATTTATGATAGAGGAAGTATTGTTATCCCTAGCATGAATGTAATGGTGATATGAAAAAACACTTGTCATTACAATAATAAAAAATTAGCATTTATTATGGAATTTTATGAGCCTGATACTGCTAGATTTTGTGGTTTCTAGTTTTTTGTTTTTCTATTTTTTATCAAAGTTACACATGCACACAGTTTAAAAAGTCAAGTAGATCTATGAGATTTTCTTTCTTCTAATGAAAAATATCACTACTTTGACTTCCTCCATTTCCTATTCCCAGAGCAAGCACTTCCAACTCGTTTAGCTGATATTTTTTGTTATTTATTACCACATCTCCAAATAACATACTTGTATTGTGTTTACTTGATTTTTAAAGTTTTAGGTATTGTCTTTTTGCTTCTAATTATAAAGTTTCCCTCTTCTGCTTCTTAGCATTACACATTCCCCTTTTATCCCATTTTCTCCTCCCAACATAATTATATTGCAATTCAATATTTACATTATTGGCTTTGATTACATGAAGAATATGTGTACATTATTAAGATTATGTAACTGCTTTTCACAACTCAGTGATATATTATCCTTACCCTGTACTACGTTTTTATTTTCTTGAGTTAATAATTGACTTTGCATATATCTCTACGATATGTATGAATATCTTTTTATTCAGACATATCAGTTATTCTATCCAGCTTCATTCATCTTCTTGAAGAAATCACTCCTGGAGCAATCTGCTTTGTCCATTCTGGCCTTTTGCCTTCTATGGCTTGTACACAGCTTTCACCCTGGAATCTCCTTTGCCATCATTCTGGGGATTGCTTGCCTCTCCCCTGTGTTGGATTCCCTGTTTCCCCCATTTCCTGTATCTCATCTTTTCTTAGATTTATGTCTTCGTTTTTGTGCAGTATATACCCTAGTAGCTTTCTGAGAACAAAGGGCATGGGAGATACATGTTTTGAGACTTTATAAGAGAAAGGGACATGCCCTTTGTACAGAGTGATATAGGAACCACCCTGTTAACTCTATATTCATATCTGCTTTTTTCAAGTATTTGGTGCCACCAGTTGCTGAGTCCTGTGCTAGGCTGAACCACAAGCGCTACTTCATGTTTGCTGGGTCCAAAACCGTTCCTTGCATTATGCCATACTGCGTAGTGTATGGCTCTATTTATGTAAGTTTTCTACATAGGAATTCTCATGTATTGATTTAAAAAATGGATCCATGTGTATATCCCTTGCTATTCACACTCAGAAATTGAATAGATTTGGATAAAATTTCAGTTAAATTTTTCTCTGTCAGAATTCTTACCTACCTACTCAGTATCTGAATCTCAGAAACCAATTAGGTTTAAGTAACTAAACACCCCCTCACTATTTGAATTATTCACATCTTCACTTAACCAAATAGGTTTATATATACACGTGTGCACATACATCTTTTATGAAAAATATTCCTGAAAACAATTCCAAGTATTAGTACTCTTAACAAATTGAAGAGGATATGAAGAGAGCTAATGATGGATTTCATTTTTATGGAGAAAATAAATATGCCATCATAGTATTTGTAAATTGGGAATTAGCAAAGATCTTTGAATATATCTCCAAGTTTATAAGTTAACATCAGTGACTGCTTTAAATATCTTATGGTATTTAGAATAATTATCTTCCATCCTAAGTGCTTCACATGTATCAGGCTACTTAATCCTCATAACCTTATGGAGTAGGTGCCATTATACCCATTTTACTGATGGGGAAAATAAGGTACTGAGATATTGAGCAACTTAACTAAAGATTATATATCCATTGAATAGTGGAGCTGGTTATATAAACTTAGAGACCTAGATCCAGAGCCTGAACTCTACCACTATATTAAGTAGTGTACTGAACACATACTAAGTTGTGTGCTGATAAATGTTTAATAACCAGCAATCCTGGAACAGGGATGGGTGCCTTTTACATGTAGCTTGTGCTGATTCCATGAAACAATGCCACGTATATTAATAGTATTTGGCTATGCACCCATAATTAATACATAGTGTTTTGTGCTTGTACTTTATATTAAGATTGAAACATTAGGATGGAATCTCTTTGGGTGTTGCTTAGAAGTAGAAAGAGTGTCAGAATAATTGAGCTCACTTAAGCCCAAGCTTCTCAAAGGATAGTATACATACTTAGGGTTATGCAATGGTGTGTTAGCAGCTACTCATCACAAGATAGCAATTGAGCACCTAGAAGCATCCATTTTACCTAAATTTTTAGAAAGAACTTTTTATAATAAAAGCAATACAGGTATAGTAAGAATGCAAACTTGCCTGCATTTTAAATAAAAAGGTGAGGGTCTTCAAAAACATTTTCCTGCCCAGAAGTGTGTAGTCACTGTTCTTTGCTTTTAGGATCATTTTTCAATGAAGAAATTGGAAAGGAACCAACATTAAAGGGAAGAAAAGTAACATTTAGTACTTAAACAGTAGGGCCCAGTGCTTGGTGGAATGCACCACTTTTCAGGTCACCTTCAGGAGCATGTCAGCGTGTAAGGTGTAAAGCTACCCTTCTTCTGGCATAGAACCGTCAGCAGTAGGCAAGCAGAAGCCCAAAACTTTGGTGGTCCTAATGGTTCTGTGACTGTTTTTTGTTGATATTTAGCATCCTTTAAACCCTTTTCTAATGCTTTCCTGGTGGTGTATGAGTGAGAAACCTGCTGAACTGGTTCTCTTCTCTGAGTCCACATTCACTAGGTGATAGAAATTTTTTAGCTCCATTATAATCTTATAGGACCACCTATGCAGTGCCTAGTTGACTAAAACCTCTTTATGCAATGCATGACTATGTGTCTATCTCTGCATTTATTTGTGTAGTGTCTCTATCTTCCTTAAGTTTCAGACATCATGTTCACACTTGACATATGTCCTTACTTTGAACATCACAGCTGTCCTACATGGTAAGTATGGTTTCTCCTATTTTAAGAATGTACAATCTGAGGCCCAAAGAAATCAGGTAATTTTTCTGAGGTCACAGTACTACTAAATGGTGTCATTCTGAATTCAATTTAGTTTCCATGAACTCGAAAGCTCATTCTTTCTTCTGTATCACACTGTCATCAAGATGAATAGTGGAAAACCATGCTTCTGCCTTATATGTTGTAAGCAAGGCTGCCCTTGAAGCAGGTCTCATGTTTCAGAAAATGGTATTAAGTTTAGAATTTGAATATTATTCCCAAAGGGTGAGTTTGAATCTCATATCTACCTACCTATATGTCTTACTGCTGCAATTTCTATTGTCTTTGATGATCATGTAAATTTATTTCTCATTTCACACAAGTTAGCACCTAAGAATATTAAAAGTTTGTTTCCTTATTTAAAGTGCCAGAATTATACAGTGAATTCATAATGCAAAGCAATGGCTGTGATTTTATTCTAAAATGTAAAAGAAAAAGTCATTTGTTGAAAGAGTTTAAGATACGTTCTTGATGACATGCTGGAGCTTTACTGGTCAAAACCATAGTAGGCTTTGAGAGCCAGTTATTTATAGTTAGGTGAAAATCATTATCCTTTAGAGGGTAGCTGATTATTTAAAATGTTAATAGAAATTACATTTTTTCTTCATAGAGTTAATATTTTAGAATGAGCTTCACTTTAAAATCTATATCATATTTTCATTAAAAAACTTAATTCCACTGGATACCAGTTGTAAAATCATTAACTTGACAGGAAAATAGCTGTCAATACTTATCATTGTGATACATAAACATAAATAGTATAGGTCACAGTGTAACTACTTATAACTGTTGGACTCTGGTTTGCATTTGGCATTTCTAAACCACTACTCTGAGTTTGTGGATGATGATCAAGTTATCATTTAATAGTAGTTTTTAAATTGGTGTCAAAAGGTGGAAGTGCAGAGATGGTGTATTCATTGATTCTTATACTGTGTATAAGGAAACTGTTTATAGATTTTCTATTTCTGTGGATATATAGCTCCTAGAAATAAGAAACTAGACCGTTTTAATTTTTTTCAAAGTAAATGCACACCATGAATAGACTTAGATAATAATCAACACATTTGAAATCTGATATTCATTTAGAGATTTAAAATAGGTCTAAAATAGATCTGTAGAAAATGAAACATTTGCAATAAATGGTAATTAAAGCAAAGAAATAGTGTGAATCTCCAAGTATAAGTTTCTGTTGTTTCACCAGGCACCCCTCATATATAAATGAGTACAGTTGACCATTAAGTTGAGTAAAAGAATTAATCTTTTAGTAACTTATTAGAGATAATAATCTAGTGAAATTTGATTTGGATCATTATTGGAGATCTGTTTTCTTTAATGAGCAAAGAATTAATTTGAGCCAGGCACAGTGGTGGATGCATAGTCCTGCTACTTGGGTGACTGAGGCAGGAGGATGGATTGAGCCCAGGAGTTAGAGACCTGCCTAAGCGACATAGCAAGACACCCCCATTTCAAAACAAACAAATAAAACAAGAATTGTTTTTGAGTTCTATTGTTTTTATTTGGATATTCAGGGTAAGTCTAAATGACCTTAAACAAAATGAATTAAAATCATTTTAGAGCCAACCTAGACTAGAAATGCCTGATTCTGGAATCTTAATAAAAGTAACCTGGACATTTATTTTCATTAAGAAAAAAATGTAAATAAATAAATACAGTTCTGCCTGTAATCCTAGCACTCTGGGAGGCTGAGGCGGGCGGATTGCTCGAGTCAGGAGGTCGAACCAGCGCTGAGCGAGACCCGTCTCATACAAAATAGAAATTATTGACCAACTAAAGTATATTTACAAAAAATAGCCAGGCATGGTGGTGCATGCTGTAGTCCAGTACTTGGAGGCTGAGCAGGAGGATCGCTTGAGCCCAGGAGTTTGAGGTTGCTGTGAGCTAGGCTGACGCCAGGGCACTCACTCTAGCCTGGGCAACAAAAGTGAGACTCTGTCTCAAAAAAAAAATAAAAAATAAATAAATAAATAAATACAGTTCTTTGAGGATAATCTTTAATCTTTATGTGAAGGATTTCTGAGATAAAAAAGAATGGCGGCCGGGCGCGGTGGCTCACGCCTGTAATCCTAGCTCTCTGGGAGGCCGAGGCGGGCGGATTGCTCGAGGTCAGGAGTTCGAAACCAGCCTGAGCAAGAGCGAGACCCCGTCTCTACTATAAATAGAAAGAAATTATTGGCCAACTAATATATATAGAAAAACTAGCCGGGCATGGGCGCATGCTGTTAGTCCCAGCTACTCGGGAGCTGAGGCAGGGGTTGCTTGAGCCCAGGAGTGTGAGGTTGCTGTGAGCTAGGCTGACGCCACGGCACTCACTCTAGCCTGGGGCAACAAGCAAACTCTGTCTCAAAAAAAAAAAAAAAAGAATGGCATGTGATTTGGGGTTAAGAATACAGACTTACTGCACTTGGTTTCACAGAAAACATGGTTCAGATATCACATATATAGTTAAAATTGCCTTTTACAAAACTGACATCCTTTTAACTTTGGGCATGATTAATTTAAAAAGTGTTTACTTCTCCCCAGACTTTAATTGCATTTGTATTTAGAATTATCATTAAAAATGGTATTTCTCAAAATAGCTGATAAGTTATGTCAAGACAGATTTACTTATGTAGTTATCAAATAGGAAAATGTCCCCAAAGCAATTATTTCACATTTTACGGGGAAAAGAATCTTTTATGTCCTTAATTCATTTGTGCTATATCTCAGTCACTTGTGTTTCATACAATTTTTCGTGTATGTGTCAAAATGTGCAATATTTGATCATTTTAAAGCCTAACTAATTTAGAGAGCGTTAGCCACAAACAAACACAATATATTATGTCCTAAGTAATTGTGCAGATTTTCCATCATGATAAATAGTTGATTTATTTCAAATGGATTTTCTTTCCTCTTTTCTTTTTAACATGTCAAATCATAAGAGACTTTTCTTTCTGCTGGCCTCAAGGCAGGGTAAGAACAAACATTTGTTTCAGAGCACAGAGTTCATATTTATGAGGTACCTAGGAAAGTTAAGAAAGCTACTTAGATAAGCTTAATAGAAACTCATTAGGAGTTCAGATATTGCAATAACATTTTTTGTAGGAAACTTTTTATTTGCCAGTTTAGTTTTACAGAGTGAACTATATGTTCTGGTTATAAGAAGGAGTTATAGGTACCTTAAGGTCCATACATTCACTAATAAACTTTCAGTCCATCCTGTTTATCTTTCTTGCATAACAAATTAAATGATTCCATTGTCTTGCTTGGAAAGCAGGTTTAGTTCTCTTTTATTCTGTTGGTTAAAGTATAAAATCCTTAATATGGCTTGCAACACTCAGTTATAAATCTCCTCCAGATCTTCACTTCTCAACTTTATTCCACTCTGAGACTGTTCAGCTATACCTGACCCTCCCTGCTCCCCCGGCCCTCAAAACTCAATTCACTCTCTGCTTTTCTGTACTTCCCCTTCCCAGCTGATTGCATTTAAATTCATGACTACTAATATTAAATGGTTGTAGTACTGCCCTGCAATTACACATTTTCTTGGTCCACTCACCCAGATGACTTTTCCGTACTTTCCCTTCTCTGCTCCAACCTCTGATGCATTCTCCATCTTTGCTCTCAGCTGAGTACCTTGCTCCCTACTCCACTGAAAAAACAATGTTTCAGAAGAGAATTTCCCCAAGCCTCCTCCACCACATCTACCCTTGCCGCATCTGTGCCCATGCGCTCTGCCTTCCCTCCTGCCACCAGAGAGGAACTGTCCACGCTCTTGTCTACGGCCAACCCCTCCATCTGGTCATTAGAGTCATTTCCCTCTCCTCTAGTTAGGATGTTACTTTGGCAAATCTCACCTCTTTGATACATCATTTTCCCTGTCTGTATGGCATCATATAAACGTTATTACTTTTCTCATTTAAAAAAAGAAAACCTTCTCTTGACCTCATCCTTCCCTTTTGGATAATGTTCTGTTTTTCAGTTCCACTTTTCTGCAAAAACTGGAGGTAACTTCATTAAAAACCCTTTGGGCTCCTTAGGGCAGGAAGTCATCTCTCCCCGCACACTCTATCTTCCAAACACAGCCTTTGGAGAAAGCTTCCTCCACAGAAGTACTGCTCTCCAGAGTCTCCTCTTTAGGTCTTGCCATTATTTCTAAAGAGCTGCAGCTCACAGCTGAGAACTCCAGTCTGCAGCCTCTCGGGTGACCAGCCCTCTGCAAGCTGAGCCCACCTCAGCACTCTGGGGCAGCCTTACGCCCTGTGAATATGCAGAGATGAGAGGACAACAGAACACTGGTACTCAAGGTCTTGGTTTCTTCTCTGAGCATGGCAGGGAGTGGGTTCTTCCACCCTCAAAGAATCTTTGCAGCTGTGATAAGATGCTTCCTTAGGCAACTGCGGAGCCCCAGCTACCATGCTTCCAACACTGCCTGCTAAAGCCAGTTTTAAGTGTCTGTTGCCAGGAATTAGGTAGCAAACTGGGTTAGGGCAAAACTGAAATCTAATCCTCCTTTGATGTGTAAATGAGGGAAATATGCAAGTGCTCCCACCACACAGGGAGAATCACTGTGTTAACTGGGAGTGCTCAGAATTGTTACAAAACAGTTGAAGCAAAAACCAAAGATACCAAGTCACAAGAGATATACCTCAGCACTTCCTTGAGGAAACTGGCTGAAACCAGCCCTAACTGCTTTAATTGTCCCTTTAGCTAACTGTAATACTAAAATCCCCACCTAACGGAAAATTACGATATCATTAACATAACATGGGTTCTATGAAGGCACATGATGATTGTACTGCACATTCCTAATTTGTTTTATATGTGAACCAGGGATGACACAATGAAATCGCTCTGTGTCACCTACTGGAAAGGGATTTAAGGTCACACAACAGGTAGGCTGTGGAGATCCTGTCCTACCCAGGAGTGAGCACCCTGTGTAAATAACCTTTAATAAACTCATTTAACTCTCCAACCTGGACTTGTAGGAGTCATTCTTTGGTCTGCTGGCTCCATCTCTATTCAGAGGGTGGTTTTCCTATACTGTTCTGGGATTTTTCCTGAAACAATAGAAGAGGAGAGAATGAAAGCTGTGGAATGAGTCTGAACTTCTTATACCTGGTGCATGATAACTCTAAGCATGGCACTGATGGGGACCCATTAATTGCACTCAACCTTTAAAGAGAGACAACCAGGTTATACTTCAAATCCCATCACAAATGTTATCTTATTGACATCTTCAGGTTAAATTTTAAATACTTTCAGTATTTCCTTGCCTTGATCAAAATTTGTATGGTTTTGTTTATTGGTTATATTTCTGCCTCTGCCTGCTAAACCATTAAGTTCCTCAAGGGCAGAAACCCTTTCTTGTTGATCTACTTATCCTTAGACTTAGCTGTGCCTGACATAATGGGACTCTCAATAGCTCCTTGATGACTGAATGGATGAATAAGTAGATACACAGATGGACAAAAAACAATTTCTCTTTTGCAGATTAATGTTATTGCTACTGGTTATACATTTTTGTTTTAACAATTTTATCAAGAAATGGTGTCTTATATTGAAAGAAGGATTTGTGACAGACATTTTCAGATAGTTCTTAAAGTGTTTTAAGAAACACTTTACATGTTTGAAAAGATGTTTCCTTTATACAAGGTGAGCATCTCATATATGTATATTAAATCAATTGAATTGCATATATGGACCAGTAGAAAGCATCACTAGTAGAGAGAGGAGGACTGGTCATAGCCCCATTTTTGCCACTGATGTTACCTTGAAAAAGGAAGTTAATTGCTAAAGTCTGTTCTGGCTCTTACATTCTACACTTTTATGGATTTATAAGTGGAAGTAAACTATATTATCTATTCTTTGGTGAAATCAGTGAAAAGGCAAACAAAACATCCAACTACCTAAAAAACACAGCCTGTTTCTCTAAAAAGAGAAGAATTTGATGATGATCTCCATCTTACTCCACTGGAAATGGTTTATTTTGCAATTGTGACGCTAACCTCAGAAAAAAACTATTGCTTGAACATTTGATTCACTGTAGATATAAATAAAAATTCAAGTACTTTCTACTGTTCAAATAGATCTAATTCTAACACCTTCAAAAAACTTCATGGATTATTTGAAGAGTTCTGTGAAAACCGACAATGAAATCATAACATAACTGTTGCCTGATCCGAAGAGTTTTAGGGCTCCAAAGCAAAAAAGAATAAAATGATGTTTTGAGTATATTGGATATATATGAGGATAATTAAATACTTCTACATTTGTATAAATTTCTTAAGAATACGTGTCACTTTGATAGGAAAATTTTATAACATGTTTACAATATGTATCACATATATCACCAGAAAACCTTAGAATTGATTCACTTGCTAGAATTAATTATACAATTACATTAATTAATATACTCTGAAACTACTGTTATGATTAATCAGAATCAAGCCTATAGACCTGTACCCTGCAGCAAATTGGATGTTGCCAGTGCAGAAAGTAGAGCACAAGTGTGATATGCTCAGCAGGGCTTAGAGTTTTAATCAGATAAACCAGGGAATGTTTGGATTATCTGTCACTTTGAAGTGCTTTTCAAAGCAAACCTCAAAAAATGTACTTTGCAATAATAAGATTTGGGGGTCAGAAAGTCATGT